AGCAACAAGTTAATTTCCCCAGCTGGGCCCTGGAACTCTGCCAGGGATGCTTTCCTGAGAAGGACTCTGAACACAAGCAGAAATCATTGGCCAAGGGCCCAGGCCTTCAAGCCAAACAGCAGCTTAGTTAAAAGGGACATAGAGTTTAGACATAAGCACGCTGTTCCAAGCTCCAACACAAAAATATTTATTAGCTTCCTTTGGAAATTTTAGATGGCAGGAGAAATGTTCATTGGGAACAGGTGCTAAAGGATAAAAATTTTAACAAAAATTAAGCCTTGGGAAATAAAAGGTGTTTTAAACATCTTTTATTTTTCATCTAATATTCCTTCTGGGAAGATTAATAATATTTCTCATCATTGACCAAGTAAGTCCCAACTCTGGAAATGATGAAAGGAGAGGCAATGTGCTCTGTCACCATGAAGATGACAAGTTCTCTCCTCATTTTTAAACTTCAGATTCCATGTAGAAATAGAGCGATTAAAAAAAAAAGAGGCCAAAAGGAAGAGTTTATGGATACAAAAGCCATTTTAGAAAGATTCGTGAACCCGTTAAAAATCAAAATAAGTGATTCATAAACCTATTTAAAGTACTGATTCTAAAAGTTTGAGGCATGCATTCAGATCCAGTGTTTATAAATCCTGGTACCTGTTTGAAAATGGCCATTGGCACTCACTGTCATCTAATATGGGAGCCAAGGAAACATTTTGATAACCCTTCTATTAACAATCTCATTAACAGTCTTCCAAAGTTGACTTCTATACTGTATTGCCAATGAGTGTCTTCAAACATCCCTATTCCATAATAAGGAAGCAGGCTGTTTTTAGAAGGTTCAATTAATAGTTCCAATACAGAAGGTGGAGAGTGCATCTGGCAGACAGAACATGCCATAAATCCTCACTGATGGCCAGAACAGCAGGTCCTCCAAGTAGGAGTTTAATGAGGACAGAACTGCCAAGGACCCATGGGGCCATTCAGCAAGATGCGAAGGGGAAAAGCAAGCACTGTGGCTCACTAATGAGAGATGGCAGCAGAGGAAAAGGCCTTCCTAATTAAAACCTGTGCCAAGGAATAAGCATGTCTGGTAGTGGCCAAATTCCCATTTTGTGCAAGAAACAAGAATAAACCAGCTGTATCATGAATGCACAAATGTAATCTGACCAGAAGGCAGGGGTGATAGCTATCTAAAACAAGCTATAGGTGTTGACTAGGAAAAAATATACAATCGATTTCTAAACACTGACAATATATACAGGCCTAGGGTCAATTCCACAGACCTTACTATACTTACACCTTATCCCTTTTACAGGTGTTTTTCACTGATGCTACAAATGTTAAAGTAATACAAAATGATACACTTTGATTCCCCAGAATAATTCACCTATGAAAATTATTGAGATAACGGTCATTTGGCTTAAAGCAATTGATACGGTTTGGATTTGGGTCCCCTCCCAAATCTCATGTTGAAATGTAATCCCCAAATACGAAGGGGCCTGGTGAGAGGTGACTGGATCCTGGGTGTGGTTTCTCATGGTTTAACACCCTCCTCCACTGGTGCTGTCATCAAGACAGTGAGTTCTCATGAAATCTAATTGTTCAAAGGTCTGTGGAACCTCTCTTTCGCTTCTGCTCCACCATGTAAGGCATAGCCATGCCTCTCCTTCACGTTCTGCCATGATTATAAATTTCCTGTGGCCTCCCAAGAAACCAAGCAGATCCCAGCATCATGCTTCTTGCACAGCCGATGGAACCATGAGCCAATTAAAACTTTTTTCTTTACAAATTATCCAGTCTCAACTATTTTTTTTTTCCTTTGAGACAAGGTCTGGTTCTATGACCCAGGCTGGAGTGCAGTGGTGCCATCTGCACCAGACGGAGTACACAGCACCACGTCTGGCTAAATTTTGCATTTTTTTGTAGAGATAGGGTTTTGTTATGTTGCCCAGGCTGGTTTTGAATGCATGAACTCAAGCGATCAACCCACCTACCTCAGCCTCCCAATGTGCTGGGATTATAGGCGTGAGCCACCATGCACAGCCATAGCTATTTCTTTACAGCAGTGAGAGAACAAACTAATACAGCAATAAAGACTTCCTGAGCCCTGCTGGCTCACTGAAAAGCCACGTTCCACCTGTGATAAGAAAGCTCGAGCTAGTGGAGGGACTTGGTAACTTTTGGTATAGCAATGTCTTACTAGGACTAGGCTTCTGGAAGCCAAGGACAGCTATTCCTGTTTTTTGACTCTGGATGGCACCTCTAGTTGTCACTAAGCAAGAGAAGAACCAATAAAATGGCAAAGAGCTGTGAAAGGCTTACTACCTGTAATGTCAGGAGCATGGCAAAGCAAGGATTGTGTACATGTCTAATCTAAGCATGAATCAAAGGGCTCTGCTTGGTGAGCCTAGCCTCTAATTCATTCCTACATTGCATGGCCTTGAGAAATGTATGTAAACTCACTCTGTGCATCAATTTTTCCAAGTTAAAAAAAGGAAGAATGTTCCTGCTCTCTCTTTGTTATAGAAGTGTTTTATGTGACTACCTAGATAAAAGGTCTCCTCAAAAAAAGAAAATAAAATACAATATGAGCCTTGCACAGTATCTGGCACATAGAAAATAATCAGTCTACATGTGTTGACACTGCATGAGCAAAGAAGGCACCCTCATGTAGGACAGAAGAGACCCACTTGGCATGCCATCACTAAAGAGTCTTTAAATGATTTCAGAAACCAACCCAGAGTATTGGGTGCAATGAGTAAGGGAATCACAAGTCATGGTGTCAAAGAGTCATCTGTTATGCCCAACCTCACCTTGGTAGGGACCATCTACTTCTTCTGAGAATCAGTTGGGTTATACCATATTAAGGGCCTTGTAGCCATACAAGTCAGAAAAGACAGCTTTTTGCCAGCCAAGTAAGCCACTGCTGTAGGATGGTGGAAGGAGCATATGTGGGTAAGGGGGGCTCAGGTAGTAGGCCCACAGACTCCTAAATGCTTTTCAGCTGCCACTTGGATACCAGTTTGCAACTTAGCAGGTGACTGGTCTAACCAAGAAATGATAAATTGTAGTACTGTTGTCCATCATAATGTAAAGGAATTGATTTTGCTTATTTAATTACCCTCAACTTACTGATCCTCACCATGAGCAGTCACAGGGGTGCAAAGATGAACATATCTTGCTTGCTGGGGACTAAATGCTTGTGCCCCCCTCAAATATAGATATTAAAACTCTAACCCCCAAAGTGATAGTATTAGGACATGGGGCCTTTTGGCAGAAGCCCTTGTGAATGGGATTCATGCCCTTATAAAGAAGGTCTCATAGAGCCGTCTTGCCCCTCCACCATGTGAGGACACATTGAGAAGGCTGTCATCTCAAAGTGAGCCATTGCCAGACATTGAATCTGCTGGTGCCTTGATAGTGGACATCTCAATTTCCAGAACTATGAGAAATAGATTTTATAAGCTACTCAGTCAGTCTGGCATTTTGTTATATTAGCTCAATTGGACTAAGAGGATAAAAGTGTGTTTTATCCTCCAAGTATTTGAGCTTTGTCTTGAAGGTTTTAGAAATATAACTCTTAGGCAGCAGATACACAAGAATGACTACTTTCATCTGGGACAGGTGGAAACCAGATCACAGTTCACAGTAGTCTCTTAAAGAGGAGTTTAATAGAGTGGGCAAAAGGAGAGGGAACTCTACGTGTGTCAGTGATATTAAGGAAGTTGGTACATGTAGTGGCAAAAAAGAAAGCAAAGGAAAACGTCTTGGGTGACATGACTGTTGGTTATAATGGTTACTGGAGGAAGAACAAGACTAGAAGTCCATGTCTTCAGTCAGGAGCACCACGTATGTAAGGCTTAGTTTCCTCATTCATAAAATAAGTATAAATAATAAAATAAACTGGGCCTTTGAGTTATCGGGACTAAATGATATAATGCACAAAAATAACACAATATATGTTGAGTATCCCTTACCCAAATGCTTGGGATTAGAAGTGTTTTGAACTTTGGATTTCTCTGGATTCTCGAATGTTTGCATTATACTTACAGATTGGCATCCCTAACATAAACATCTGAAATGCAAAATGCTCCAATGAGCATTTACTTTGGGTGCCATGTTAGCACTAAGAAAGTATCAAATTTCAGAGAATTTTGGATTTTCAGATTTAGGGATATTTAACCAATCCTATCATCTGTGACTACAGATGTGGGAGTATGGACCCAGAAAGAACTTGGGGCAGAAGAGAAACATTTCAAAATTAATGGCATGAAGGTTATGGTTGGAAGTGTCAGGAAGTATGAACTGTATCATCCAAGGAGATGGCATCCTGTAATTCAGGTCCAGAATTCTGGTGCACCCAAATACGTAGAGTATGGGGCATTAAGACAAAGGACAGCAAGATGACTTTGAAGGATTGATTCAAATATGGTGTCAGGGAAAAATAAGCAGTAAAGAGCCAGAAGTGCCGATTCTGCCCAGAGCTGGTAGGATGAAAGCCAGAATAAGTGGATTTAACACATAGGGGGTCATACAAAAGCAATTCCAGTGAAGGGGACAGATGGAAACCAGATCATAGTTCACTTAGGAACATTGCATTTCTGAGGCATATTTTGATACTGGATAACCCTGCAATTGGCGAATTAATTCTGTAGGGTTGAAACACTGAAACTTTACTCTCTCCCAGGAGCTACAAATACACTTTTTATTTAATTTGGAGAACAGAGGGACTTGGGAATTAGACTGAGAGAGAATTACTGCTGTGGGGATTCACTGCTATGTTATTATATGGAGAAAAGAATGCTGAGTTTTAGGGGAAGAGTGTAGAAACAAAATATAAAACAGCACAAACAAAAATAGAGAACTTTCTGTAACAATGCAGCAGGTAGTACTAACCTAGGGCTGCCAGGAGAACAGGGGTGAGTGCCTTTGAGAGTCTACACCCACCTGCTAAGGGCCATTAAAGATGCATGTTTGCAAGCACTTTATGACATAACTGCTCTTACCTTTCTTTTAATATCAGTGAACTGCGAAAACATTAAAGACCAATAAAATGACAGCTCCAGGATGTAATAGTAGTGAAGGTCAGTTGTGAGTGGCTGAAGGTAAAAGAAAAAAAGGAAAGATTAATAGTTAATAGGGAACCCAATTTGTATCCAGACATCTCAAGCTCACTGCTCAAAAGTAACATGGTCTTGCACCTCCACAAAGGCAGTTCCTGCCCTATTCTCTTTGTAGATGATGGGGCTTTGAGGATAACTTTAATCCACAGCTTGATGATATTACTCTCATTTCATCTCCAACTCAAAAAGCATTAATTAGCATGAACATTTGGGACTTAATTCATTATTCGGTTTAACAATAGTATTTATGATTCTTTGTCACAAGTATCTGCAAGATTCCTTAAACAACCTGAAAAAAAAATTCAAATACAAAGAATAACCCTGGACAACTGCTATGAGTATAGGGACAAGAAGGTAGGTGACAGGAACTGGAGTACTGTATGGGTCACTGAGGCATAGTTTCAAGTTCTGAATTAATCAGAAAGCTTTTTTTTGTTATTAGAAAATTTTCAGCACATTTCAAATATAAAAAAAAAATTCCCAAAAATATTTATTAAAAGATCAGAGGGACAGGAAGGCTGCCAGAAGATGCCAGACTGGGCACCCAGCCAGGATATCAGATCACATCTCAGATCCATAGCTTAGCAGGTATAAAACATGGGTCTAGGTTTACTTATTTGTAAAATGGAAGTGATACTCGCTTTAACTGCTTCAGAGGTTCAGGGTTGAGGGGACACTCAGAGAGGCAGTGGAAGTCAGGAATATTTATTTTGCACATAATCCCACTAAAAACAAGAGTTTTCAAAAAATATTTTCAATGAGTTGTTTTTAATTGTTATATTGAGTTGTAATGAAAGGTCTTGCTTTATCAAAATGAGTGAAAAACCTTTGAAACTCATCACACAAACAAGTACATACCCCTACACACAAGACAATACCATATATAGTAAATATAATTGAAATGTAAATGTTTTGTACAGCAATAGCAGCATAATGAATGACTATCATGAGAAGCTGGCACTCACCAACTCTAAGCATGGCAATCATGGAAAAGTTGTCCCACATAGATCTTTGACAACAAAATACACAATGGGGCAGGATACTCCAACCAGCAATCCTAAAGTCTAAATGACAATGAGCACTGCTGTGGACTGAAGTTTGTGTCCTCCCAATATTCATAGATGAAGCCTTATTGCAATGTGATGGTATATGGAGGCAGGGCCTTTGGAAGGTGAGGAGCCCTCATGAATGCGATTAGTGCCCTTATAAGAAGGGACATGATCTCTTAGGGTATTCTCTTGCAGCAGCCTGAACTGAGACAAACTGGAGAGCATACATTTCCTACTGAACTGTCCTTTTAAAACTTGAAGGCATTAACGATGAAGGATGGATATTCAGGGCAGATGGATGGCTGCAATGAAGTTTAGAAAATCGGGCCTTGGCTCAGGACCCTTTGAGCCAAGAGTAAATTTTAGTTTTAATGAGATTCTCTTTCTTCCACATGACCACCTGCGGAAAGGCCCCAGAGGAATTATAAGGGCAAGTTAGAGTGCATCTGGAAACCGCAGAGTTCATGGAGAGCATCCCATTATAATAATTACTATGTCTGAGGAGTGCTTTGCAGTTGACAATGCTCACTCACATGTTAATTTCTTTGGTTCTCATAAAAATCCCATAAAATTAGTACTGTAATTCTAGACCTAGATTGTATAGTTGACAGGAAACTGCTGTCGGTTAATTCAGGTTAAGAGGCTAAGCCTAGGTCTCACAGCTAGTGAGGTCCGATGACCACCAACTAGGGTATCTCATGTCCAACTTGTGCTTCCTATTGCAAGCTATACAAAGTTCAACTGAATACAACTTCACATTATTTTAACCTTAAAATATACACAGGTATATGAAATTATTTAATATGTTACAAATAATATACGTATTTATATACAATAAGTGTATCCGTAATAAAATTGAAGTAGACCACTACTTTTTCATCTAAAAGTCTGTTCAATGATTTATTTAACATATATGCTAAAGACATAATAAATATGTTTCATAAGCATGCTCAGTCTTTAAAAGTATCCTTAAGGCTCGGACTGACTTGGAATAGCAATCTGCATATTTACATTGGCATGCTTACACACAAAGTACTATAATTGCATACACAATAATTGTATGCTGTTTAATTCCCCCCCCACACACACACAAATCTGCTAATATTCTTTATTACTATATGGCATTTTCAAAGATGGCCACCATTCCCATGAGAGACTGTGAGTTTGTCCTACATTTCAGGAGCTATATGCTGAATTATTACACAGAAGACAATCTTGATCTGAGTCCTCACAGATAGCATCTTGCCTTTCATGCTAGCCATGTTTCCTCTTTTTAAAAAGATAACTATCCACCAGACCCTCAGACTTTCACGTTGAATTGACAGTGCCACCTGTGAAATCCTCTGCAGCTACAGTATAGGCCATAGCTCTAGCAACTCATTTTCTCAGAAATAAGCAACTTCTCAGCTCCAGCCATGAACATGAAAGTTATTCTGGACTAAATTACAGTTAGAAAGAAGAGTAGGTATTACATTTCATTTGGCATTTGTATATACTTTTATAAACAGAAATGCAGACATACATGGATTTTGCCACTCACTATACCATTACAGGACACAAAGAGCCTTTGGTGACAATGTTCCAAGTATGGTAAACAGCAGTCGGGTCTGAAAATTATAACTGTGCAAAATAAGCTATTGGTTTCAACGTTGTTTTAGTCTCTATCAAATATCCTCCGAATGCTCAGCTCTCTTGCCACGTTCTATTACTTATTTATAATCTTTTCTAATGTGAATAAACCACTCGAAAGAGATAAAAATGTAACCTGGAGTTCCATATTTCAACGTGTCCTTAACATCGAACCAGCTTAAGGAGTATCTAGTGCCAGTCCCCACCCTCTGGCATGACACTGTGTGTCACAGAGGACACAGGACAGGCCTGTTCCCCAAAAGCCTGTGCACTCCCCAAAGACCAAACACCCCAAGAAACGACCCAAAGAAACCCCAAACAAAAAACTGAAGTTGCTTATTATAATGTATAATACATCTCTTCATTTTGTCACCAAAATACCTAGCTGCATTTGCTTCTCTTACATAACATATCCCAACTGAACACGGAGTTATAGAAATTTCTCAGCTAGAAACTTTTAGACAAGTCCCAGCTTTGATATTCAAATATTAACTGATCTGGGGACCACAACAACACAGGCTAATATCACTGAATTCATGGAAAGATGCAAAGGTATGCCAGTGGGCAGAGATCTAAAATGCTTCCTTTCTGGGATATGATTTTAATCTCACTTTCAATGATGCTGTTTTTAGTTGCAGAAGTAATCCTTCCATGTGTCATAGTACAAGCCCATTTTTCTGCACTCAAGGAAATGGTGCTTGATTTACATATTTGGAGGCTGCTTCTAAGCCACAAAATGAACTGAACTCGATGTACCTGCTCCAGCCTCACACTTGAGCTCTCCCATTTGCTGTTGAGGCAGGTCTGTGCTATGTCAACAGGACTCCAGACTTACCTCAGTGATTAGAAGCAGATCAGCTGTTAGGAGCAGGAATTTTCCACCTGTTGAACTGATTGATCCTATTCCCTTGCAAATGTACTTTCCAAACTGACTCCATCTGCTAGGACAATAGGGTCTTGATTCTGAACTTCACTAAGAATAATGCACATATCCTCACTAGATTACATCCAGCACTTATCAGCGGGAGTGGGGCCAAAAATGAAGGTGGCTGCCCAACCTGTTAGGGCCTGCCTGAGACCATGAAATTGACCTAAGGTAGATACTTTATGTGTGTAAAAACCCAAACAATAATGCCTCCTTACCTGATAGGGGTAGTTGTACCAGCAGTGCCTCGTATTCCACAACCAGGGGGTCTGAAAAAAATGACAAAGAAATATTTTACATATTTTAGAAAGTGGATAAGAAGACAAAAAAGGTTTACGATAGGCTCTTGCCCCAATATTTTGGGATTTCAATAATTTACCTGTGTGAGAATTGAAGAACTTTAAAACAGCTAGGCATAAGATATTAAAACAACTAGTATCATACAGTATATTCTCTTTTGGTAATCTACAACTGGTAGTATTTTAGGCTGCTTCTGGGGTGCAGTCCCAGCTGGTGTTTTTTTTTTCTCTTTTGCTGGTCACTTAGATATATTCCTGCTACGTAACCAGCCTCAACAGCAGGGCCCTGCCGGGGTCTCACAGAAACCAGATGTAAATCCTCCATCTCACTCTTATCTATAAACACTGATGACAGTATAAACAGCCCTGAAACTCCTCTGACTCGATCTTTACCAAGTGACATTATTCATGCCTTTACCAGGATTCAGCGATAGGCAGGCATACTTCTTATTTCAGAAGCATACCTCAGAATAACCCTCACGGCACATGCCAAATCCTGACCTGTGGTCAAGATCTTTTTACGACAAAACAATTATTCTTAATTTGAGGGCAATTACTTGCCTTATGATACAGTATAATTAAGCAGGAAAATCTAAGTGTATGCACAGATTCCAAACATTTGTTAATAATCAGGGAGGGGCTGGTATGAATTCAAGAGACAGCCGAATTATCCAATAAGACCAGCACAAACTTTCTTATAGTTTCAAAATAATTTCAAAATAAGCACTAATGTTATAATTCTTTTGCATGCCTTATCTACAGCTGTCAGCACTTTCTGATATACATCTATATACATTTGATAATACATCTATATGTTTCTTATGATTAATTTGCCAACATCATCATCAGCCCTGTATCATAGGAATGAGGACAATTAGCTTCAGGTGGCTAACATCTGCTGGGTCCTCCTTATGTCCTATATACTTTTAAAGGCTCCTACACATATTAACTCATTTAATCCTTATAGTAGCTACTAGTATTTTTCTTATTTTATAGATGGGTAAATGGAGGCCCCAAGTCTGTGAATAACTACCTAGGTTAAATAGCTAGGCAGTGGCAAAGTTGAAAATCAAACTCATACTCACTGGTCCCAAACCCAAACATAACCACTGTGCACGCTGTTCCCGAGTCTGATCAAACTGAACCCGATCTCAAGGTAAGGAGCCAGATTCCTATAAAAAAGTCATGCACTGTCCTAAACCTATGTTCCAGAATCTTTACATTTTCCTTTCATTCAAGCACTATTCATTTTCTTTCCTTTTTGAGATCTTAATTTGGCTCCTCATTTTGCCACCCGTTCAACACAGTCTATCATGTAATCTCACTGCACTTAACTTCCTAAGTGTCTGAGCTGTATATCTGGCTGTCTCCTCCATTTCTCTTATCTATAACATCAATGTTCATTACTGACCTCACAGAGTGATTGTGAAAATCAGATGAGATAGTGTGGATAAAAATACTTGGGAGGTTTACTGTGTTTTTATAGTTAAGTCAGCAATATGTGTCCATTGAAGAAGACGTAAAAAATAAAAAATAAATATAATCTAAATTTTTATCACTGTTAACATTTTTACGTATAGTCCATTTTTGTTCTTTTGTTCCTATGCAATAGTTATAAATATGATACAGATCAATTTACTTTTAAATACCCATATATATGCATGCTTTAAAAAATGTGGGCACAACACAGCAACATCTGTGTTAAAGTACAAATGTTAGTTATTACTATTCTCTCTGATAAAGTTGATTATCTCCTCATCTGGAAGTCCCTGAGGGACAGTTACGTCATACGCATGTTTATCCTCTCACCAATAGACTTCCAAGTTCAGAGTTCAGCACTCATCTACTGAATGCTAATGAAAAGGAATACAGAATGGAAATGCAAGGCCTTGTGTTCATCTAAATATATCAGTCCCAAGACCAGTAGGCATGTGTGTGCTTGCCCCTAAGGATGCAGCAGTCATCTCTGTCACGGTGCCCATCCCTTCCAGTGACAGGCAGGAGGACAAGGTGTGATTCTCAATGATCCAGAAAAATCCATCATTCAGAGCTTCCCTTCCTTTGTGAGCTTTTTGGCTGATTAGTCCTCTAAAACCCAGGCTTTTCTCTGTGTGCATCAGACGTGCATCACCTAGATCTGCTTTCGCTGTGTGCCCGATGCCTGACTGAACTGCAGAAACCGTGGATAAGTGTGTGCCTCTCACCGGGCTCCTGTGCAGCAGAGGCAGGGGTACAGGCCTGGATACCATGAATCTGACAGAGCTACCAGGACCCAAGCTCAGCTCACAAGTTTTCTGGCCCATCATTTAAGAATAGACTCTTTTGGCTGGGCGTGGTGGTTCATGCCTGTAATCCTGGCACTTTGGGAGACTGAGGCGGGCAGATCACGAGGTCAGGAGTTTGAGACCAGCCTGGCCAATATGGTGAAACCCCATCTCTACTGAAAATGCAAAAATTAGCCGGGCTTGGTAGCACACATGTGTAGTCCCAGCTATTCAGGAACTGAGGCAGATGAATCTCTTGAACCTAGGAGGCAGCGGTTGCAGTGAGCCGAGATTGTGCCACTGCATTCCAGCCTGGGTGACAGAGCAAAAGTCTGTCTAAAAAAAAAAAAAAAGGAATAGATTCTTTCACAGAGAATACATGTTCACATATACCCCTCACTCTGACAACATCAGGTATTAATATCACCTTCTATATGCACAGCACATTTGTCTAGGATCTTCTGGTCCCCCGCAAAACACCGTGAGACAGAACAAATCTCTTTCCCAATTTATAGATATGAAAACTGAAGTCCATGAGTTGATTCTCCTGATTTCTTATAGCTCAACACTGGTGTATGAATCTGGATTGACTGTTTATAATTTAGGCATGATTTCTTTAAATTGATACAGTAAAGTTGACATTTATCTACTTTCGCCATTAATAAAAATTTTCCAGTTTTTTAGAATCATTTCCACATTCATTTGATGCCAAAATCCATATATTCTATCATACAAATTATAGGACAGTAATGTAATTAAGGACTTAAAAAGATGAAATATTTAGACTCCATAGAAGAATGGCAATTAAACATATACTAAAACCCCTCAATTTAGAAGGTTAGGCCTAACATCTCCCTAACTAATAATAAAAGCTCTGTACCCAGGGGAATGCATGGCAATTCAAGCACATTTTACAGAAAAAGAATGTCTTTTTCACATGTTACAACATCAAGGAGTGTTATCAGGGTTGGAAAATCTAAAATCAAATTGTGGGTCAGTGGTGGTGGCTCACACCTGGAATTCCAACATTTTGGGAAGATAAGGTGAGATGGCTGCTTGAGCCCAGGAGTTCGAGACCTGCCTGGGCAACACAGTGGGACCTCATCTTTACAAATAATATGAGAATTTGCACCTATAGTCCCAGCTACTCAACAGATTGAGGTAGGAGGATTGCTTGAGCCTGGGCGGTGGGGTGCCCAAGGCTGCAATAAGCCATAATTGTGCCAGGCATTCCATCCTGGGCAACAGAGTGAGACCCTGTCACAGAAAATAAATATTGTTCCAGTAACGTATGATTCACATTATTCCTTCTCACACATGTACTCTTAAATAATGTTATAAAACATTTCACAGATTTAAAGTATTTTACACATATCATCTCATTTAATTCTAACAACAGCATTGTAAGCAATCAAGATAACATCACCAGCAGAGGCCAGCAGATGCAATTAAAGATTTACAAGGAACATGCCAGCTCAGTGTTTCACCAGCTGTTAAAATGCAGCTGAGGTCTAGGTTTGGGGATGAAATTCTGCATTTCTAAAGCTCCCTGTTGAAGCTGATGCTGTCAGACCATGGACCACACTATGCAAGTAGTAAGATACTAGGGAAAAGTAAGAAGGGTGATTCCATCTTTTTGGTATTTACCACGTGCAAGGCACCTTGCTAAACACTTTGTTATATTTCACAGTCCAGTATAGGTAAATGAATTAATGAATTATTTCCAATTTTTGTGAGAATCATTTGAAGCAGGAGAACGATTGCTAGTAAAACAAGAGCTAAAGATATGCCTCTCATCCAGCCTCCCTGGCTGGTACAACTCTGGTGTAAGCAAAGTTTGTATGTGCCACATGGGGATGGTACCCCTAAAAGGTCAGTGTGAATGAATTCTTTTCACTCATTCTCCATTCCCATTGAAGGGAGATAATGAAAACTGAAGCAGTCACTACTGGCCCCGAAATGGAAGTTTCTATGATATCTGGTCTCAGACGTCTCCCACTAGCTCTGATCTGCTTCCCTCCGGATTATATGTATGAAATAAATAAATTCCTAACATTTCTCTCATATCTAAGTTAGTGTGTTTTGTTTTACTTATATATACAGTAGCATAGCATGTATTCTTACTAATATTAATATATGCATCAAGGTAAGTATCAATTTTTTTGTAGACAAAAAAACAGTCTCAGAGAGGAACAGTAATTAATTAAAGGCTACGCAGCTGATAAGTAAGAGAAGGTGGAAATCAAACCTAGGACAGCTGGGCTCTTCCACTATGCTTTCTGCTGGGTACTCTGGGTAACAAAGAATGAATAATGAAAGGAAAACATCACAGGCATTTGGAACAGATTCCCTCCAAATGAGCTATGACCTAGAAACACTGAATTTTAGGTTTAGAAAGGACCTCCAAACCCTGTAATCTACAGAACAATCCACAGGTCCAGATGGGTAACCAGTTACTATTAAATAACTCCACGGTTATCTTACTGACAAGACCCCTTAGGCTACTTTCTTTCCTTTTTTTTTTTTTTTGACTTGGTCAACAGAAATTGTATCCTCTTTTCTTTTCCTTTTTTTTTTTTTTTTTTGGCATCTGCTCTAATCCCTAACATGGCTGTATTAGAAGATAAGGCCTTTGGAAGGTAATTAACGTAAAATGAGGTCATAAGATTAAGAGTCTTAAACTGATAGGGTTGGTGGCGTTACAAG